TATATATATATATATATATATATATATATATATATATATAAGAAAGTATACACTTTCGTTAGTAACTCATTTCTTAAACGTTTTTATCACGAACATCGAAGATATTAGATATTCCTGACGCGAGCAACATCGTTTAACCGGATCAAACGCGATAAGTAGCCAGCTATTAAGAGTGATATACGTGGGTGGAGATATGGAGATAACCCTGAAGATGACACGTTGTCTTCTAAGAATGTAACGGTGTACGTTCAAAAGAGATGGAAATTGTTATTTTAAAAACACTTTGTTTTTGTAACATGCGAGTGTAAAATAATATAATAACAAAGGTAATATAAATAATATAAAATCACCAAGGGTAAAATTAGATTTAAATTTTTTAAATGTAATTTGAAATTAATTTTTAACTTAATTTTAAAATAATTATTCTTTTAGAAAACATACTTGTAACGAAAAAAAATCATAACTTGATAACGAAAAGAAAATTGTTTGTAAGAAATGTCGAGTAAATTACAGAAAATTTTTCACAATCTATTCAAAATAAGAACTCCAATCAGAACTGCGAAATTCCGATGTGTTGGAGTGCTAACTGCACGGCTTCGATGAGCAGGTTATATCATGCTATGTCAATATTACATAACGATAAGATTGCGATGTGATTATGAATTTCTTGCGATGATTACAGTAGTATTATTTGAGAATATTCTTTCAGTCGGTGGCAATTAAGCCAATCGTGATCGGAACATGTAACGTCGCTCTTGCAATAACGCGATCGCGAATGTGATCTTGGCGAGCTTACGAAAACTGCAAAGTATAGCCGTGTGAAACGTGAGCAAACCTTTTTTTAACGGATCAGCTGTTGTGTGCCGGTGAGATCATCGCGCGCTTCTTTATACGTACACAGTTACGTATGTCGCAGGTTTTGTAATCACGCGCGCGTGATTCTTGTACCAAAGTATTGTAAAACCGCGCACGTTGAGTAAAGCTACCAAATAATGCAGCTAAAGTGTTTTATTCTCAATAATAATTATTTTTTAATATGTATATTACATATATGTATCCTCGATTTTGTTCTTTTTTATCATATATTATTCGACTCGACGATGTGGAAAAAACGCGAAGAGAAAAGGATTCAATGTGGTCTTGAAAAACCTTAACGCTACTGCATATTGTAATTCATACATATATACATATATTTGTCAAGTTTTGTACTTAATGAGCCGATATATTTGATCAGGTGAAAGAGCACACCTGAAGCAAGAAAAAATATCGATTTGAACAAGTTCCACTGGTGAGGCAACAGATGTCGGTACCCTCGCGAATCCCGCGAACCGGGTTGAAGTCCTTGTCGAGAAAGAGAAGCGCGTGCGTCGCGCGCTTGTCGGCGCCGTTTAGTGACTCGAACGCAGCTGAACCTGAAGTGCACTGAAGCCGACCGAGACTCCGCCGCTCCGACGAATTATCGTTCGTCTTGCGTTCCCCGTGTTGGTGCGTGCACACATACGATGTCGCGCGCAAGCAGTTAACCACCCGCGCCTTTTCCTTCCCTCTTCTCCACCCGTCTCTCTCTTTTCTTTCTTCTTCTCTCCCCAGTCAGCGCTCTTACCATTCTTCGACTGCTGGCTCTCCTTAACACGCGTCGCGACGTGCGTATACACACGCGTGCTCCCTCCCACTTGGATCTCTCGTTCATTATCTCTCCTTCTTCCTTTCTCCGCCAATCATCGAGCCGGGATAAGCGAGGAACGCGAGAGCGCGGCGTCTCGGAGCGAAACAACGTCAGTTCAGTACGCTCGTGTCCTCTCGACGTGCACGGAGTCGCGTTGTTGATCGAGTTTTCCTCCGCGCGATTCGCAACTAGGCTCTTTTTTTTGGAAGAGGATCGCTGACTGCGAGGAAGAGAGAGAGAGAGATCGATCGACCGCTCGGCCCCGTGGATTTTAGAGGCCACGCTGCGCGCGTACACCATTCGTCAGGTAAAAACTGTTTTCTTGACAATACGGCACGTCGCACCGGCTATAACCGGTTGTTCTGTAAATTCAGAGCTCATTCGATTAATCAAAAACGATCGAAAAACCTCGATTTTGAGCGCTCGGAAGACATTTTTCATTGCTCCGATCTCGCTCGATCATTTCGTTCGCGAGCCGCAGGACGTTCGGGAAAGGTACGTACACGCCCAGAGAAAAGGAGCTCTCTCTTCCAGACCAGGTTTTTGGCGTACGACAAAGTTTTCAGAGAGTTCAAAAATTCACTCGATGAATCATTAGTTATCTAATTTCATGATAATCGCGACTAATGTTGTTATAATCGATTTTGTCATTTTTTAATATTCGGTATTTTGATAAGTACACTGTGTTTGTGAATTGATTTATGTATGTGATAAAAAAAATGGCTTTTTTATCGCTTGTCACATCATCGATTATCACACATCCTGTATCACAAAAAGGATGTATCAAATAAGTTTAAAGGAAGTCAAATAAGTCGATTAATCGGCTGTAATAGAATAATTTACAACCGACGTGTAAAAAACTTCGAGACCGGAAACCTATTTAAATTCGTGACAAGCGGCGAATCACCCTGTATAATCCTCGATCGAGCGCGTACTCGGGTGAAAGGTCGCGTTGTTGCCGATCGAATCGCGTCGCCGGTGAGTCTGTCCCTAATAGCGGACTCGCATCGATCTGGTAGGAAAATTGCAAAAAGGACAGGCCTGCCGGTGTGTTTAGTTCGCGGGGAAGTGAATAGGAAATGGAAAACAGAGCAGTGAAGCGCTAATTCTCCCGAGCCGACGAATGTTTGCGTGTTGCTGATGAACGAGCGAAGATTGGAGAAGAATAATTTGATCATTTTGATCCACACATTAGGAGTGACCTTTTCCCCGGGAATTGTGAAATTTCTTTTGAACGTTATAGGTGTCAATAAAATTAATTGTTAAATCCGGTCATCTACTTAATTACCAAAATGAAAATCAATCATGTAATTTTCTAATTCCGAAGGAAGTATACATATGGTATTCAATATAAAATCCAAGCGCGAGAATATATTTGGCAATTTGTTGACGATGACGGTGACAAATTATTGGCAATTCGCGGTAGGACGCTCGAGCTAAACCTAAACCGTGACGTCCTTAAGGATCGACGTTGCCGCAAACAATAGGAAGTGGCGGAGGAGAGATCGATATACACACGCTACAAGTACTCGATAGTATTCTCTCGAGCGCGCCAGTATCAGTGCCCGTCTCACTACCGGTGAGAGGACACGCGGAAAGAGACGCGCAGAGATCCACCCGGTGGTCGCCATAGTAACAGGCCATCTTGACACACTGCAGCCATTCTCCCTGCCCGTTTCTCCGGAAACATCATGCTCGCGCGTCGTCGCAGAAAAGTAGACTTGTCGACCCTTCAGGTATAAATCGACCGAGTTCTGAATTTCTTTTTCAAAAACGGGAAAGTAGAACGTGTCTTCGGAAATCTTCTGGTAATAATCGCACGTTCATCAAAGCTCCCTCGTTTAGCGTGGAAAGGATTTCGTTGTCAAATGATAGGTCAGTAATTTCATCTTCGATATATGTGTCAATATTCAGGTGAACGTAATAAATACGACGTACATCGCACATTTGTAAAACGAGTTCGTATATATAACGATGTAGCTTTATAGTAGTTTCTATATTCCGTCGCGCGCGAAACATCGAAATGTGAATTGCAATATATATAAAAATGTATATTTGAAGGAAAAAAAAGTATATTATCGACCGCGTCTCCATGTTCTCGCACGCGGAAAGCACGCACGATTAAACCGCGAGTGTTTCACGTCACGAAGCATGTGTTGGTTTGCATTATAATAGTCATTATAATGCAAAGTCGTAATAAACTTGTCTTTTAGACCACATTGTCGTAGACGACTTTGTTCTAAGAAGTCGCGTTAAATTATAAAATAAACTTTGTAATACGCATAATAAACGGAAAAACACACACAATATTAATATAAAATATTTTTATAATTATAGCGTATATAATGCGAAAAATTGTATACTTTACGGGATCATATGTAACGATCACAAACCAAACACTCGTAACAAATACTTCTGTTTCTCTCTTTTTTTTTTTATTTTTTTTATTTTTCTTCGCTACAAAAGTGACTCTTAAATAATTTCACAAGAAATGCCCGTCACGCCAGAGATG